TGGGGGGCTGTGGGGCACCTGGGGGGCTTATGGGGCACTTGGGGGGTTGGGGGGCAGCTGGGGGGTGAGTGGGCACTTGGGGGGCTGGGGGAAGTGCTGGGGGGAGCAGGGGGCACTTGGGGGGCAGAGGGAGGCACTTGGAGGGCGGGGGTGGCACTTGGGGGGCTGGGGAAGAATCTGGGGGGCTGGGGGGGCACTTGGGGGGCCCAGGGGGGGCAGTTAGGGGGCCAGGAGGGGCACTTGTGAGTCTGTCCCGTAGCACTGCCCCATAGCTGCCCCATAGCACAGCCCTATGACTGCCCTGCAGGGCCCCCCCATAGTACTGCCCCATAGCTGCCCCATAAAGCCACTCCATAGCTGCCCTAAGGCTGCCCCATATCTGCCCCATAGCACCGCCCCAAAGCTGCCCCATAGCGCCACCCCATAGCTGCCCCACAGCCGCCCCATAGGTGCCCCATAGCTGCCCCATAGCACCGCCCAAAAGCTGCCCCATATCTGCCCCATTGAGCCACCCCATAGCTGCCCCATAGCCGCCCCATAGGTGCCCCATAGCCGCCCTATAGCTGCCCCATAGCTGCCCTATAGAGCCACCCCATAGCTGCCCCATAGCTGCCCCATAGCTGTCTCATAGCTGCTCCATAGCTGCCCTGTAGCTGCCCCATAGCTGCCCCATAGAGCCACCCCATAGCTGCTCCATAGCCGCCCCATAGCTGCCCCATTGAGCCACCCCATGGCTGCCCCACTGCAGCCCCACCACAGCCCCATAGCCGCCCCATTGAGCCACCCCATAGCTGCCCCATAGCCGCCCCATAGCTGCCCCATAGCCACCCCATTGAGCCACCCCATAGCTGCCCCATAGCCGCCCCATAGCGCCGCCCCATAGCGCCGCCCCCCTGCAGGTGAAGCTGGTGAACATCCGCAATGACGACATCGCAGACGGGAATCCCAAGCTGACGCTGGGCCTCATCTGGACCATCATCCTGCACTTCCAGGTGCCCGCGCGGGGCTGCGGTGGGGCTGCAGTGCAGTTGCGGTGCTCTGTGCAGCAGGGATGTGGTGGGGCTGCGGTGGGGCTGCAGTGGGGCTGCGGTGCTCTGTGCATCGGGGCTGCAGTGGGGCTGCAGTGCTCTGTGCAGTGGGGCTGCAGTGCGGTTGCAGTGCTCTGTGCAGCAGGGCTGTGGTGGGGCTGCAGTGGGCTGCAGTGGTGCTGCAGAGTGGGCGCAGTGCAGTGCAGCTGCAGGGATATTGCAGCACCCGATGCAGCGAGGGGCTGCAGGGGGGGTGCAGTGGGGGTGCAGGGTGGCTGCAGTGCTGTTGCAGCACCCAGCACAGCATGCGTGCACTGGGGCTGCAGCGGGGCTGTGGTGGGGCGGCAGTGGGGCTGCAGTGGGGCTGCAGTGTAGGGTGGTTGCAGGGATGTTGTAGCACCCGGCGCAGCGTGGGTGCAGTGGGGCTGCAGTGGTGCAGCAGAGTGGGCTCAGGGCAGGGTGGCTGCAAGGATGTTGCAGCACCCAGCACAGCGCGGGGCTGCACTGGGGCTGCAGTGGGGCAGTGCAGTGCACTGCAGTGTGGCTGCAGTGCTGTTGCAGCACCCAGCACAGTGTGGGTGCAGCAGGGCTGCAGTGGGGCTGTGGTGGGGCTGCAGGGTGGCTGCAGTGCTGTTGCAGCACCCAGCACAGCGTGGGGCTGCAGAGGGGCTGCACTGGGGCTGCACTGCTATCTGCACTGGGGCTGTGGTGGGGCTGCAGGGTGGCTGCAGGGCTCTGTGCAGTGGTGCAGTAGAGTGGGAGCAGTGCAGTGTGGCTGCAAGGATGTTGCAGCACCCAGCACGGCGTGGGTGCAGTGAGGTTGCAGTGCTCTGCAGTGGGGCTGCAGTGGGGCTGCAGGCTGGCTGCAGTGCTGTTGGAGCACCCAGTGCAGTGTGGGTGCAGTGTAGGTGCAGTGGTGCTGCAGAGTGGGCTCCATGCAGGGTGGCTGCAGTGCTGTTGCAGCACCCAGTGCAGCATGGGACTGCAGCAGGGCTGCACTGGGGCTGCAGTGCTCTCTGCACTGGGGCTGTGATGGGGCTGCACTGCTCTCTGCAGTGGGGCTGCAGTGTGGGTGCAGGGGGGCTGCGGTGGTGCAGCAGCAGAGTGGGCGCAGTGCAGTGCTGCTGCAGTGCTGTTGCAGCACCCAGCGCAGTGTGGGTGCAGTGAAGCTGAAGCGCGGGGGGGAGGGGGGTGGTGGTGCAGTGTGGACTCAGTGCAGTGCAGTTGCAGTTGTAGCGCTGTAGCAGCACGCAATGCAGTGGTGCTGCAGTGTGCTGTGCAGTGGTGGTGCAGTGCTGGGTGTGTTGTGGGTGCAATGCAGTAATGCAGCGTTGCACATTGCAGATCTCAGACATCCAGGAGTCGGGACAGCGCAGCCCCATGCAGTGCCGTGCATTGCAGTGCAGCAGTGCAGCACTGCATGTTTCAGATCTCAGACACCCAGGTGCCGGGGCAGCGCAGCCCCACACAGCAATGCAGTGCAGTGCAGTGATGCAGTGCTGCGCTGCAGATCTTGGACATCCAGGTGTCAGGGCAGCGCAGTGCCATGCAGCGCCATGCATTGCAGTGCAGCAGTGCATTGCAGTGCAGCAATGCAGTGCTGCACTGCAGATCTCAGACACCCAGGTGTCAGGGCAGCGCCGCGCCATGCAGTAATGCAGTGCAGTGCAGCGATGCAGCATTGCGTGCTGCAGATCTCGGACATCCAGGTGTCGGGGCAGCGCAGCGCCATGCAGTGCAGCGCAGTGATGCAGCGCAGTGATGCATTGCAGCGCAGTAACGCAGCGCCGTGTTGCAGATCTCGGACATCCAGGTGTCGGGGCAGTCGGAGGACATGACGGCCAAGGAGAAGCTGCTGCTGTGGGCGCAGCGGGCGGTGCAGCATTACCCGGGGCTGCGCTGCGACAACTTCAGCAGCTGCTGGAGGGACGGCCGCCTCTTCAACGCCATCATCCACAGGCATCGGTACGGGGGGACGTGGGGGGCGTGGGGGGGGGGGGGGGGGGGGGGGGGGGGGGGGGGGGGGGGGGGGGGGGGGGGGGGGGGGGGAGATGGAGGGCTGTGCTATGGGGCTGTGCTATGGGGCCGTACTAAAGGGCTGTGCTATAGGGCTGTGCTATGGGGCTGTGCTATGGGGCCGTGCTGTGGGGCTGTGGGGCTGCGCTATGGTGCTGTTCTATGGGCTGTGCTATAGGGCTGTGTTATGGGGCTGTGCTATGGGGCTGGGCTGTGGGGCCGTATTAAAGGGCCGTGCTATGGGGCCGTGCTATGGGGCGGTGCTATGGGGCTTTTATGAGGCCATGCTATGGGGCAGTGGGGCTGCGCTGTAGTGCTGTTCTATGGGCTGTGCTATGGGGCTGTGCTATGGGGCTGTGCTATGGGGCTGTGTTATAGGGCTGTGCTATGGGGCTGGGCTGTGGGGCCAGGCTGTGGGGCTGCGCTGTGGGGCTGCGCTGTAGTGCTGTTCTATGGGCTGTGCTATAGGGCTGTGCTATGGGGCTGTGCTATGGGGCTGTGTTATAGGGCTGTGCTGTGGGGCCGTGTTATAGGGCTGTGCTATGGGGCTGTGCTATGGGGCCGTGTTATAGGGCTGTGCTGTGGGGCTGTACTATAGTGCTGTGCTATGGGGCTGCGCTATGGGGCTGGGCTATGGGGCTGTGTTGCACTGTGGGGTTGTCCCATGGGGCTTTCTTTGCTATGGGGCTGCGCTATGGGGTCACACCGTGAGATGGTGCTGTGGGGCTGTGGGGTCAAGCTGTGGGGCTCTGCCCCATAGATCTCATGGGGGCCGTGCTGTGCCCCATAGATCCTGGCTCTGCCCCATAGATCTCATGGGGGCCTTGCTGTGCCCCGTAATCCTGGCTGTGCCCCACAGATCCTGCCCGTGCCCCATAGATCCCGTGTGGGCCGTGCTGTGCCCCACAGATCCTGCCCGTGCCCCATAGATCCCGTGCCCCACACGTGTGGGTCAGCCCCCCGCTGCAGCTCAGTGTCGCGGCAGCTCACTGAGCTCTGTGCCCCCCATGTCCCCCCCTCTCCCCCCTGTGCCCCTCATATCCCCCCCTGTGTGCCCCGTCTGCCCCCCATCTGCCCCCGTGTCCCCCTTTATCCCCTCTGTGCCCCCTATGTCCCCCCATGTCCCCCCCGTGC